AAAAAAAGAGGGGGAGGGATCAATTCAATACGCTGTAGGCAAAAGAGGAAATATTATTATGTAAGTAGTTTTTCACACATTTCCTGAGTAAGGAACCAGAACTGGAAACTAGAAAGCTGTGCATGTGCGTGCGTGTTCTCACTGAACCCCGTCCCCACCCTCATCCCCCCACACCCGCCATCTTTTCCCTCAGTCTTTTCTTTCTCTCTGTGGAGCACCTCCCAACACTTCCTCAGCCCTGTGTAGAATTAGCCACTCCACAGTTCTGAGGTTATAGGCTACTGGCCCATCCTCTCATGAAGATTTCTTTTCCAGTTAGCAGGAGAAGAATCTTTTATTTATTTACATATTTATGTATGTATTTATTTATGACCCAGGTGTGAAATCTGAGGGGTGTGAAGAAATCAGTAGACCCGCGGAAATTCTTGAAGTCCAGCTCACTTTCGTATATAGAACATACCCCACAGTGTGCTCACCTGTCTCAGTGTGGACACCTCCAGGACAGCCAGTTTAATTGTGGGCATCCTGGCTGTTAAAATATCCTCCTTTACACTGTTCTTACCTCTATTAAGTCTCCTTCACGGGGCCTACCAAGGCTGAGGGCAGGCCTGGGAGGTGGCCTCAGCCCCATGGTTCGTCCCACCCCAGCCCCTGGGCCACAAGCTCCCGTCATCAGTGTTCCTCTGAAACAGGCGAGACTACCACCCTCCAGCTCCAACCTCTGGGCAAGATTTCCCTACTGGTTTTCAGCCCAGCACACGGTGGCTGGTGCTGAGGGGACCTTATCCTCCCAGAGGAGAAGACCCCATTGTGTGGGTTGGGGCAGAGGCAATGTTGAGGCAGGGGGTGGTAATGGGGACTCCTCTGCTCCTGAGGATTCACAGGGAGGCAGGGACCCCAGAAAGGCCCAGTCAGAGGAGGCACAGAGCCCGACCCGACCATCAACCCAACTCCAGTCTGAGCTCTGATGGCGGTCTTTCTGAGGGCCTAGCCAGTGTTGTGTGGGTGGAAAGAGAAGTGTGGACAGGCTGCTTTGCTTGAGAGGGTGAGGAGCTTTGCACTTTGAGATGGAGGGGGTTTAGTGAGAGGAATGAGGGTTCAATGAGAGAGGGGGTTCGACCATTGAAGGGTCCATCAGTGGTGGGATGGGGAGAGTGAGAAAGACTGGGTCACCGGGATGATGACAGAAAACTACAGGCATTTTTTTCCCTCAACTTGGGAGTGGGGGGTGGGGAGGGGGCTCTGTGTTGCAGCCTGGGCCTTTTTCCATCCTACTACGACCTCCACCTACAATCCTCTGTCGCGTGTTGTGTCTTGAAGTGGAGGGAAGTGTGAATAGAGAAGAGAAGAGAGAGAAGAGAAGAGAAGATGGGCTCTGTGCAGACATCAAGGAGGGCAAGTGGGGCGGGGGGGGGGTGCAGGTGGGGGTGGTGTCAGGACAGAGTCAGAGACACTGCTCCACCCAGAGCTTAGTCTCATACCCCAGAACCAGCTGGCCCAGAGCCTCCATTTTGACCCTCCCGGGAGAAGAATCCTATTGGACCAGCTTGAGTCGGTGCTTCGAAGTTTCATGCATACTGGTTGAGGACCAACAGGATCAAGGGGAGCAGGAGCCACCTTGGTGCATTGCTGAGCAAGGAGAAAGGGGACTGATGCTCAGGACGGATATAGACACTGGAAAGCGTACCCTCCACAGCTATGCTACTTTCCTGCTATAAGGCGTTCAAGCTTGTTGTGCAGAAGAGCAGCCTGGGTGGCGCAGTCGGTTGGGCTTCCGACTTCAGCCAGGTCACGATCTCGCGGTCCCTGAGTTCGAGCCCAGCGTCAGGCTCTGGGCTGATGGCTCAGAGCCTGGAGCCCTGTTCGATTCTGTGTCTCCTCTCTCTCTGCCCTCCCCGTTCATGCTCTCTCTCTGTCCCAAAAATAAATAAACGTTGAAAAAAAAAAATTTAAAAAAAAAAGACGTTCAAGCATTTGTTCATTTCAGGTAATTCAAACCGAGCGCGGCCTGTATTAACACAAACATGGATTGAGGAAGGCGTAATGAAGACGTTAGATGCTTAAAGACACTGAGTTAGGTAGAGAAACTAGTAAATCTAGAAAATCTCGAAACTAGCAAATCTCTGCAGTGCTGTCAGGAGGAAAAAAAAAGGGCAAGCCACCTACGGAATTTTAATTTTTTTTCTTTTTTTTTCAACGTTTTTTAATTTATTTTTGGGACAGAGAGAGACAGAGCATGAACGGGGAGGGGCAGAGAGAGAGGGAGACACAGAATCGGAAACAGGCTCCAGGCTCCGAGCCATCAGCCCAGAGCCCGACGCGGGGCTCGAACTCACGGACCGCGAGATCGTGACCTGGCCGAAGACCGCGAGATCGTGACCTGGCTGAAGTCGGACGCTTAACCGACTGTACCACCCAGGCGCCCCTGGAATTTTAAACATTCTAGCAGTCACATATTTTCTTTTTTTCTTTTCAGCTTTTATTTATTTTTGAGAGAGAAAGAGAACACGCACGGGGTGGGGAGAGAAGGAAGGGGGGTGGGAGAGGATCCCAAGCAGGCTGTGTGCTGTCAGCACGGAGCCGGATGCAGGGCTCCAACTGAACTCACGTGCCATGAGATCGTGACCTGAGGCCAGAGACAAAATCAAGAGTCAGACGCTGAACGGACTGAGTCACCCAGGCACCCCACTGGCAGCCACGTGTTTCAAAAAGTGGATGGAAAAAGATAAAATTCATGTTAGTAATACGTTTTATTTAACTCAACATCCAACATATTATCATTTCACCATGTAATCAATAACATTAATGAGCTGTTTTACATTTTTTCTAAGTATTCAAATACTGATATATATTTTACAGTTAGAGCAGATCTCAATTTGGATGCAATGTTTTCATTGGAAATACCTGATCTGTGTTCAGATTCCCTAAAATACACATTGCACAAATACAGCTGTATTCACATGATCAGCTATCCTTGCTACCTCTCATTTCTTATGTGGGATGAAATGAATTCTTGTCGGGGTTTCCGGTTATCGCTCACTGAGTTGGTCCATCACCCACACCGTTTTTCTTATGTGAAAGTGATCATGGATCAAAATGACCATGCTGAGATTGTGAGCCCCTACTCTGCAAAGAA